TGGTTACAAATTGGATAGGAAAAGTACTAGGGGAACATGTCACATGTTCTCAAAATCTTTGATAAGTTGGCATAGCAAAAAGTAAGTTTTCGGTAGTTGTTGTGTACAAATTTTGTGACTTAAACAATAACTACTTGACTTTGATATTAAACTCCCACGTATTCCTATCATGTGTGACAACACTAGTGCTATTAATCTAACCAAAAATCTTGTATTAAATTCACACACTAAACATATTTAGATACACCACCACTTTCTTCGTGACCATGTTGAAAAAGGGGATGTTGTGTTTGAGCATGTTGATAGTAAAAATCAACTTGCTGATATTTTCACTAAACCACTCGCAACGGAACCTTTTGTCAACATACGTGGGGAATTGGGATAATCGATATCTTAAATGTTGCCTAATCTTATCCTATTGCTTGCACTCTATAATTTCACTTTAATCTTGTATTTGAGTTCTTTACATCATATGAGTGCAACTTCGACCTCAATCAAGAGTGAGGTAATATCGTTTCAATTTCTCCTTGAAAGTAAGATTTTCCTTGATATATGTTACTAGATACTTCCAAAAATACTTGATATTTTCTCAAATTATGAAAACCATGAATGTTCATTTCTAATTTTTTATTTATTAATAACCATTGTGTGTTCTTAATTCATACGCTTATAATGACTTCATGTATTAATTCTTTCACATTTTTATAAGTCTATTCTTATCACGCGAACATGTGTTTTTTGTTTATTTGTTTTGCACTTGTGCTTGAATTATTGGTATGTGATATTTGCAATATATGTTTCCTGTTGTTTTGCTTACATGATATATATATCGTCTTCCTTTTGGTTTTAGTAGCGACATATTCGTGTTGCTATGCTAGGCATATGCGTGTGCGATATCGGGAGTTCTATTATGAAGTGTTACTTGTTTGTGATGCTACAAAAACAACTTGACAATATTGTCATATCTTGCTTATTTAGTCTTTTGCAATTCATTACGTTTGTTGTAATGTCGCTTAATTGTTATTTAAAATTTCGCATCATCACATATATATATGAGGATATATGTTTGTTGCTCTTCTATGCAAAATAGCCTCTGATTATTGTATTGGTATTGTTACGGAACTATGTTACTTCTCATAGTTTACTCTCTTTCTTTTTGATGTTTTCAAAGGGGGAGAAGCATATGTGAGTTGAAGTAGGGAAGCACAAAGTCAGGGGGAGTCTAACAAATACAAGGAATGCATCGTCACGAGTTTTGTCATCATAAAAAAGGGGGAGTATGTGAGTACAAACTTCGTCGGCAAATGTTTTTTAATGATGTCAAAACTAAGAAAAGCTTTCACCTCTGAGTATTGGATGTTATCCTTATGTCTTGTGGTACTCCTCTGTATTAGAGGTCTTAGGAATCATTAGAAAATATTTCAAAATTGATCCAAGTCATTAAAAATAGTTTTCTGCATGTTTTTTTTGCTGCATGTGTCGATACATTTATATTTTCGTTCAATACATGTAATGCGTTTTTAAAGCCTGTAGCTTCTGTAAGTCTCAGGTCGAAACATGCGTCATTTCAGGTCGACACATACTGAAGCATTTCTGAAAATGCAGAAATTCTTATTTTATGTGTTGATACATCCATCTTTCAGGTCGACATATTTACTATCATTTTAAAGCATGTAGTCTATGTAACTTTCTGGTCGACACGTGGGCCTTTATAGGTCGACACATTATGTTCAAAAATCACGTATGAGTCGACACATACGACTCTTAGGTCGACACATACTGTTTTAGTTGGTCAATTTTTTTAAATTCTTTTATTCTGAATTTATCCCTATTTATCCTAAAAGTTCCAAAACTATAAATACCCTTTCATGCATCATTCCAACTTTTTGAAGACCATAACATTAGCCTATTTCTCTCTTCATATTCAACCTCCAATCTATGCATCCACACTGACATTACATTGTAACGATGTTTTGTTGGGGTGTCATCTAGACGAGGATTTCTAGTGTCCAATTGTGTATTGGTTAGAGTTTTGTAGGGGTTTTGATCGAGAAAAAACCTCAGGTTTATTCTCCAAGATCATTGGTCTATTTGGGCTTTTTCGTGCACAACATTCGAGAGGTAATTGCGGTAAAGTGAACAACCTTGGAGTGCTTAAAATCTTAGCAAGGAACCTTGGAGTATTTGAAATCTTTGCAAGGAAGTAACTTGGAGTACCGGATAGAATCAAAGTATTGTGTTGCAATAGTTTAAGATTGACGATGCGCGAAAGTTTTGGAGATAAAGAATGCAAAGAAGTAGCAAGATTTAGATAGTCATTTCTCATCTATTGTGTCTTAGTCTCTCTCAAGACCAAGGAAAGAGAAGGGGTTGAAACACAACAAACTTAGAATTTGTGGAGTTTCTCTTGAACACTTCTCTTGTATCAACATTTTTGTATAGTAAGAATTATCCTAATTCCATTGGAATTAGGCGCAGACGTATCCACATGCAAGGACAACAGTGGATAACTGTAAAGATAAATTCCTCGTGTCGCTTTTATTTTTGCTTTTACTTGCTTTGATTTTCATTGTTCGACTTATCAAATATCATTGCGTTATCATTTGAATTGTAAAAAAAATTCTAATCAATTTTGATCTTTAATTCAAGTGTTAATATAGCTTATAATCACTTTTAATTATAAGTGATTTTGTATATCAACACAATCAAAGAAAAAATTCTGAAAATTCACTTGCATACCAAGTGTTTGATAAATTGACTAATCTAGTTCTTTTAATATTACTATTGAAAATAGCCTTGCTAAGGAAAATTGACTAAACTATAAATTAATTGCAAAGTGATTCAAGGTTATTAATCCACATTATCGTTCTCATTTCATATTATTTTTTATTTATGGTTTTCATATTCGAGCTTCTCGATAACGTTCGTATAGACGATAATTTGAAAAAGCTTTTGCATTGTACTTTGATAAAACTTCTTCAAAACTAAATTTTATTTGGATATTTTAAAATGGGTATCTATTCACCCCCTCTAGATATCATTGTCTTTGTCTAACACTAACAGGGTCGGCCAAAAGGGAAGAGAGGTCCAACCAAAAAGGCTAAAGCAAAACAAACTCCAACTGCTACTCACCCTGCACAAGAAGCTTCTCAGACTGCTAATAATATATTTACACATGCTTCTCATCCTACACAACATGGTTCTCAAACTGTTCATCCAACACAACAAGTTACTTAGACTATTCATCCTATACAATAAGCTTCTATGAATTCATATGAGGCAATGAGAAGGTATTATAGTATAGACCCTGACACATTGGAAGCTTTGTTAAATAATGATGATATCCTAGACATTGAGCCAATAAGTGTTGTGTTAATCCTGCAAAGAAGACCTCCAGCTCTAGAGGAAATGGAAATAAATCATGGGATCACATTCAGAAGAGCTTGAGTCAATGATTTTCTGTTTCATATTATGTTATTTTTGCACTTGTATGGATTTGTACTACTTTGATTTGCTTTTAAGTAATGTAAAACAACCTATTGTACCACTTTTAAACTTATGTTATTTTAGATGTAATTGTCATACTATCTTCTGGTGTAACAGATTGTATGTGAAAAATTATACACTGTTATAAAATGGTATATTGAAGTAACAAGTTTTATGTATCAAATTATGTTATTTTGGATGTACCAAATATATGTCCAAACTGTATCAAAAATCATATTCCAAACTTTAGCCAAATTATGTCTAAAATGTATTACAAACCAACATAAATGTGCTAATTATGTTCAAACTTTAGCCAGATTGTGTCCAAACTGTATTACAAACCAACATAAATGTGCTAATTACGTCCAAACTTTAGCTAAATTATGTCTAAACTTTAGTCAAATTATGTCCAAACTTTAACCAACTTATGATCAAACTGTATCAAATTACATTCCAAGTTGTTACATTTCAACATAACCAAAGCCAATCACAATATTTCATACCAAAACCAAGAACAATGTGCTAATCAAGTGACAAAATCAATTTTCTCATTACATTTAAACATTTGTTACAGACTAAACTCAACTTACATTACATCATATTAAAACACATGTAATGTATACTCTCAACATTTACAATCTTTCAGAGAAAAAGACATTGACAATTACAGAAATGACAATACACAATATTTTCAGATTTCCATTACGTTTCTCCACTTTCAATTTGCTCTTCAAAATCTTGTTCTTCTTTCTTGATTCTTCGTACAACTCCTTCATGTAGCCCATAGAGGCCATAGCTTTGACCTCTGAGTTCATCAAGCTTGCATCTTCATTTGCATATTTTGCTCCATAGTCTTCATCCCATATGAACAAATCGCACGTGTCAGGGGTCCTCCAGAAAGGACATCTCCAAAACAATCTTCCTTTGTTAGACTCGTTCTTGCATCGATAGGAAACCATACGAACTTGACACCCACACAACTTACCAATTTGCGACTTAACAGATGAAGAAGACATTTGCAGACTTTGAAACTGTAACGAAATCGCGACTTATCAGATGAAGAAGACGGTGCTTCAATGGCTAGAAGAGGAAAAATGTTGGTTCACGACGGCTAGAAGAAATTAGGGTTGAGAAAGTACAAATGTTATACATAAGGGAATTACCAACGTGTCAAGCTATAAAAATAAAAATAAAAATATTTTTTCCACTTGTCAAGACACGTCATCAACCCTTAATGAGTTTTAACGTTGAGGATTAATAACGTGGATGAAAAATTTTGTAAGGACCAATCTTTAAAAGAAAATTTTATAATAACTAAAAGGAAAAATCGCTATATTTATACAGACCAATACATATTTAAGTCAAAAATAAATCACTCTTTTTTTATTAACATTCAAAGACAAAGTATAAGATTCCATATTAAAATGTTGATACATACTACAAAACAAAACTACAGTTCAATGCTGCCTATAACTTATTTCAATAATTGTCACTATACTTAAAGCGTGGCTCGCATGGATCATTTTTTTATTAACATAAAATACTCCACGCACAACCAAACTAAACAGAAACATCACTTTGAAATTTTCACACTATCCACCACCATTCCGTGTTCCCTATATCTTTCATTTCACACCCCTTTTCCCTCATCACAAACTTTATTCCTCTCTTCATATCGTATCATAATTCTATTCTCTTCATGCATCAAAGTCATCATGTATCAAACATGTTACATATTTTCTACTATGCAACATAACACTTAACATGAAACCTTATCAGTTTTCATCATCACATGATAATCTTTTAACCATGTCTTCTTCTTCATGGCTAACTTCTCCTTCATGCATCCTTTTTCCTATAGATTCATCTTCCTCTACACCCAACCTCGTGCTTCAATGGTTAACCTTTCTTTTTCTATCTCCATGTCCTCAAAGACTTGCTCTTTCTGCTCTTGATTTCTTGTTTCTGCTCTCCCTCTTAGCTTTTGCAGCTCACAAACTCTACTCAAGATTCAACTCAACTTCCAACTCTACCTCCTCAATCACAAAACCACTTCTGCAGGAGAAAGATTCTGACTATAGAATCACCTTTTGGTTCAAACTACCTTTGTTGGTAACTATCCTTTTGGCTATAGCTTACACTGTTCTAGGAGTCTTGGCCTTTACGCAAACAAACTTTGCTTCATGGAAACTAATCGAAGCACTTTTTCGGTTGTTTCAAGCAATAACCAACATAGTGATAGTGATTTTAATGATACATGAGAAAAAATTCAAATCTTCCAAACACCCTTTATCATTAAGAATCTATTGGATAGTAAACTTTGTGATTGCTACTTTATTTGCTATTTCAGCTATTGTTCGAATAGTAACTGTTGGTGAATCAAAGTTGGAACTTAGTTTGAGAATAGATGACATATTCTCATTGATTAATCTTCCATTATCTGTGTTCTTTTTTGTGATAGCTATAAAAGGGTCATCAGGGATTCATGTGATAAGAATATCTGATGTAGTAGTAGCAACATATCGGTCGATTTCAACAGATAGAACTTTGAGTCCTTATGCTTGTTCATCATTTTTGTCCAAAACCGTGTGGTATTGGATGAATCCTTTGATCAATAAAGGTTACGAAACACCGCTTAAACTTGAAGATGTACCTTCACTTCCTCTTGAATTTAGAGCAGAAAAAATGTCTGAACTTTTTCAAAATAATTGGCCAAAGCCAGAGGAAAACAGTAAGCATCCAGTTGGAGTGACCTTATTTAGGTGTTTTTGGAAACACATAGCTTTCACTGGCTTCCTTGCAATCATTAGGCTTTGTGTTATGTATGTTGGTCCAATGCTGATTCAGAGTTTTGTTGATTTCACATCAAGAAAAGATAGTACTACTAGTGAAGGCATTGTTTTGATATTGATCCTTTTTGTAGCAAAATCAGTTGAAGTACTTAGTGTTCATCAATTCAACTTCCACTCTCAGAAACTTGGTATGCTTATTCGTTCGAGCATAATCACTTCGGTTTACAAAAAGGGTTTAAGGTTGTCAAGCTCTTCAAGACAAGCTCATGGAACTGGCCAGATTGTGAACCACATGGCTGTTGATGCTCAACAGCTCTCAGATTTGATGATGCAGTTTCATCCTATTTGGTTGATGCCACTACAAGTTGCAGCTGCGTTAATTCTTATGTATAGCTATGTTGGTATATCAGTACTTGCAGCATTGCTTGGAACCACCATTGTGTTTCTATTCACGCTATATCGGACGAAGAGTAGCAACAGCTTCCAGTTTCGGATAATGACCAGCCGCGACTCGAGGATGAAGGCGACAAACGAGTTGCTTAACAACATGCGAGTGATAAAGTTTCAAGCGTGGGAAGAGTACTTTGGTAACAAAATTCGACAGTTTCGTGAAGCCGAGCATGGATGGATTGGGAAGTTCTTGTACTATTTCGCTGTTAACATGGGAGTTTTGTCCACTGCTCCACTAACTGTAACTGTTCTTACCTTTGGAACTGCGACTTTTCTTGGAATTCCTTTGAATGCTGGTACAGTTTTCACAATAACTTCGGTAATTAAGATACTTCAGGAGCCTGTGAGAACTTTTCCTCAGGCTCTTATCATGATTTCACAGGCAACAATCTCTTTAGGGAGGTTGGATGAGTTTATGGTGAGTAAAGAAACGGATGAGAATGCAGTGCAAAGAGAGGAGGATTGTGATGGTGATGTGGCTGTGGAGATAAAAGATGGGAAATTCTCATGGGATGATAAGGATGAGAATGAGACTTTGAAAGTTGACGAGTTGGTGATCAAGAAAGGGAATCATGCTGCTGTTGTAGGAACTGTTGGATCAGGCAAGTCTTCATTACTGGCTTCTGTGTTGGGAGAGATGTTCAAGATCTCAGGAAAGGTATGTTTTTCATGCTTCGGACTCGTCTAATTTTATTTTCACTTCAAGTTGTCATCATTACTTGTAAATCTTTCAGGTAAGAGTTTGTGGAACAACAGCGTATGTAGCACAGACATCATGGATTCAGAATGCAACCATCAAAGAAAACATATTGTTTGGTTTACCAATGAACATGGACAAGTACATGGAAGCTTTAAGAGTATGCTGTCTTGAGAAGGATCTTGAAGTGATGGATGATGGTGACGAGACTGAGATTGGAGAGCGTGGAATAAACCTCAGCGGCGGTCAGAAACAACGCATACAGCTTGCTAGAGCTGTATATCAGAACACTGACATCTATCTCCTTGATGATGTATTCAGTGCTGTTGATGCTCAAACAGGATCTTTTATTTTTAAGGTAAGCACAAACCTAAAATTTCTAGTTTTTCAGATTACAAACAATACATTATAGTATCAATCAAGATAATATTGGTTTCCAATATAAATGAATTGTCATTATAAATTTCTAATACAAATCACAAGTGATTCTCCATCTTTTTGCAGGAATGTATTATGGGAACTCTCAAAGATAAGACAGTTTTACTTGTAACCCACCAAGTTGATTTCTTGCATAATGTTGACTCTATAATGGTATGCATATGTTCACAAGTCCCTAAAGTTTTTCTGTAAATGGAAGTTAAAGTCAATAGGGAATGTACTCATTCATGATATAGTATTAAGTCTTATACTTTGATACAATCTTTGAAGGTAATGCGTGAAGGGAGAGTAGTGCAAAGTGGAAAGTATGATGAACTTCTCAAAGCAGGCCTAGATTTTGGTGCACTTGTGGCAGCTCATGAATCCTCTATGGAGATAGCAGAAACAAGTGATAATTCCAATGAGGAATCTTCTCAGTCTCCAAAACTCGCCCGCATCGCTTCAAAAGAAAAAGAAAACGCGGGCGAACATCAGTCTTCTCAAGATAAATCTAAGTCTGATAAGACAGCTGCAAAGCTCATTGAAGATGAGGAAAGAGAGACAGGACGTGTAAACCTTAAAGTATACAAACATTATTTCACAGAAGCATTTGGATGGTGGGGAATAGCACTTATGGTGGCAATGTCAGTGGCTTGGATGTTGTCATTTTTGGCTGGTGATTACTGGCTAGCAATTGCAACTTCAGAAGACTCTAGCATTCCTTCTTTCACTTTCATTATCGTCTATGCTGTTATAGCTGTTGTTGCATGCATAGTGGTTATGGTAAGAGCTTTCTTGTTTACATATTGGGGTCTAAAGACATCTCAAAGCTTCTTCATTGGAATGCTTCAAAGTATCCTTCATGCACCAATGTCATTCTTTGACACTACTCCTTCTGGCAGAATTTTGAGTCGTGTGAGTTTCATTCAAAATCCCTTTTAATGTTTGGTTTATGCTTTAGTAGTGTTTGGACTTGCTAACTCTACTCTTGTTATGAATTGTTCAGGTATCTACTGATCTACTTTGGGTGGATATATCAATTCCAATGTTGGTAAACTTTGTAATGATTGCATACTTATCATTATTCAGTATCCTCATTGTGACATGCCAGAATTCTTGGGAGACTGTCTTCCTCTTAATTCCACTGTTTTGGTTCAACAACTGGTATAGGGTATGATATACCTACTCCTATAGTAATATTATCTTGCAACTTGGTCCTATTTTGATAGTTACATTGTTCTGGTTTGCAGAAATATTATCTTGCAACTTCTAGGGAATTGACTCGTCTTGATTCAATCACAAAAGCTCCAGTGATTCATCACTTTTCAGAGACACTTTCCGGTGTTATGACAATCCGTAGCTTAAGAAAGCAGAATGAATTTTGTGATGAAAATATTGACAGGGTGAATGCAAGTCTAAGAATGGATTTCCATAACAACGGAGCAAATGAATGGCTTGGTTTTCGCTTGGACTATATGGGAGTGGTTTTCCTTTGCATTGCCACCCTTTTTATGATCTTTTTGCCAAGTGCTATTGTTAAGCCAGGTAGAATCCCTTTTTATGGTCAATCACAATTTTTGAGAACTTGCCGAAAGAAGCTGAAAACGTCTTATGTTATGACATAACTTGTTTTCATATATTCTTCTTAACAGTATTACAATAATTTTGGTTTTACAGAATATGTTGGTATGTCTTTATCCTATGGCTTGGCTCTGAGCGGTCTCTTGTCATTTACCATAACAATGACTTGCTCGGTTGAGAACAAAATGGTTTCAGTTGAGAGGATAAAGCAGTTCACTAACCTCCCACCAGAAGCTCCATGGAAAATAGTTGATAAGTCTCCACCTCAGAATTGGCCTAGTCATGGAACTATAGAGTTAAACAATTTACAGGTATATATTGCAATCACAATGACCAAGTACATATATATTGTTTGCAAGATTAGAAAATTTAATATGTTAAAATGGTGTGAGCAGGTTAGGTACAGGCCAAATACTCCTCTAGTTCTTAAGGGAGTCTCTCTAACCATTCAAGGTGGAGAAAAAGTTGGCGTTGTTGGGCGTACAGGAAGTGGAAAATCAACACTCATCCAAGTTTTATTCAGGTTGATTGAGCCTTCCGCCGGGAATATAATCATTGATGGTATCAATATTTCGACTGTTGGCCTTCATGATTTGAGGTCATGTTTTGGAATTATTCCACAAGATCCTGTCCTCTTTCAAGGAACAATTAGAACCAATATTGACCCTCTTGGATTGTATTCAGAAGATGAAATTTGGAAGGTATATATATAAAAATTTCATGTATGGGGGAACTTGAGCTAATAATTGTAGCTTCTAATTAAAAACTTACTGTTAATTAATTTTACTGCAGAGTCTTGAGCGGTGCCAATTGAAAGAAGTGGTGGCTGCAAAGCCCGAGAAACTTGAGGCTTTAGGTGATCATATACTTTCTTCTTCCCCTGAACTACTCCTAATTCATGTGATAAGAAATATGAGGTGAAATGTGTTTTACTATTTTGTTAGTGGTTGATGGTGGAGACAATTGGAGTGTTGGGCAAAGGCAGCTTCTATGTTTGGGAAGGATAATGCTAAAACGCAGCAAAATACTATTCATGGATGAAGCAACAGCATCAGTTGATTCACAAACAGATGCTGTAATACAAAAGATCATCAGAGAGGATTTTGCAGATCGTACAATAATTAGCATTGCTCACAGAATATCAACAGTTATGGACTGTGACAAGGTTTTGGTCATAGACGCGGGTATGTACTTTATGCTATATAACTATTTGTGAACATAAGAAACTTCACAACAATAATAAACTACATATCACACACCCAAACACTAGACACAGATACGACAACAAGTAATTTAAAAGCATAGAAGTGATTGAATGCGTATGTTAGTGTTGTGTAATGTGTCTCATACTGAACATTTCTTTGTAGTATTGGTGCTGCTTATTTAGATTGGTGTATACTAATACTAATGAATGAATTTGTGGGATGTTTTTATGGCAGGTTTGGCAAAGGAATACGAAAAACCATCACGTTTACTTGAAAGGGCATCACTTTTTGCTGTATTGGTTAAAGAGTATTCTAATAGATCAATTTAATTGTTTTTCATTTATTATTCTGAAAGTGTTCTATCCTTATTTTAGTTCTATAATTTGAGTGGATAATATGCAAGAAAGAAATATTTAGTTGCATAAATCAAGTTTGGCTTAATCTTTATCCGAGGCTTCAAGCATAGAACATAAGGATTCATCCTTAGAATTAATTTTGACATGTTTAGTAGTTTTTAAATAGAATTAATTCTGTTTTTTAAAATTAATTCTATTTAAAATTATAATTTGTAACTTATTTAAAATTATAATTTGTAATTTTTGAATTTAAATTTTATTTTTTTAATGAGATTTCAATAGAAATAGCTTTGGCCTTTCAATGTTTAGATTTAATTAGTTTCTTTCCAAATCTTTATCCCCTCTTTTTCTCTCTATATATATTCATCACAATGTAGCAGATAATCTTTCATTTGGCGAATTTTGATTTAATCTCTTTAAGAAGAAATTTCAATTATTCTTTATTGATCGTATTTGACCAGAGTGATCGTCAAGGCCTTACGTCGAGCTGAGGTTGAAAGCGAGATGGGGGTACCTGCAAGACACTCCGATGTTAAAGTAAGTTTCAGGGAGAGTGCAAGTAAGTGTGAGTGTGAGTATGAGAATGAATATTTGACCTTCTCAAATGAGAGGGTATTTATAGCCCCCAGCGCTGGACCAAGGTCCCCAATGTTAGGCCACGATGAGACCCAATAATGAAGACTGCCAGGACTTACGTGTGTATGAGGTTCAGCGCGTCGACCCCCCTGGTCAACTGCCACGGGAGAATAGGTGTTGGACCCGTGATTTCCGGAGGACAGTCATGATGATAATGTTAGGGACATGTGGGCCACGTTCCCCAACGGACGCGTGGGGATTTGCCCAACGATCTCCAGCTTGGGCTGCTTGCATTTGGGCCTTGTACAAAGGTGTTGGATTAAGCATCCCCAACAGTGGAAAAAGTGTGGTCCCAGTACAGATCAGGAGTCCCTCAAGTTATTGCCCTTAGGTGAAAGAGTGGTGACTTAAGTTCAGCTTTATAGCTGGGGAGAATTTGCTCGAGGAGGGAGGTCGAAATCCTCTGGTGGAAATGAGGTGTTTTCAGCTCAGGGACTACCTGTTTGACCTTGTCGGGAATCTCGTGGACAAGCGAGTTATGAGACCGACTGGACCAGTTGTTTGTCCGGTGTTCGACGGGAGTATATAGGCTACAGAGAGCTTCCGCAAACTCTTTTCAATGTGCCCGTCTTCAAGGGGTTGTTACGATGTCGAGCGTCATTTCGTCCTCGAGGTGGACCACGACGAATATGCTTGTGTGCGTGTTTTAGCCATGGTGTCGAGCATTTCTCCGTGTGATGCGTCTGTATCGTGCTCGTATATGATGTTTCGTGTTCGAGTCGGGAACTTGTTCGTCTCTTGAGGATGGATATGTGGCTGATTGTTGGGTCATGTGGCTGTTGCTTTGGGGTGCCATCTTTTCATGGGGAGTCCAAAAGGCCCAATCCAATGATGAATTTTCGTGATAAACCTCGTGGGGTGTGAGCCACCTATAAAAAGGGGGACCCCAGGGTTTCATTTATTATTTCTCAAGTTTTCTTCTCCAACTTCCTTTGCTCGCGTGTGAATCCTCTCCTCCTAACTTCTCCAGATTTCTTTCAAGTAGCCTTCATCCAAGTAAGTCATATCCCCTTAGCAATGTATTTTCTTAGTGTTTCTAGATTAAACACCTAGTTTTTTCTTTGACTGGATGAATCTTGGATGAATATTCATGAGTTCTGGGATGAACACTCATGAATGTTCATTGAAGTTCATGAGTTTAATTTTCATGATGTCGAGGACAATCTCCCCGATAGTGGGGGTTGACTCGGGCTTCTAGCCCATTTGACTAGATATCCCTAATAGAAGTTAGTCCGTTTTAGCGTGCGGTCGAGGGCTTAAGTCGAGGTCCGCTCCTTGACCGCTTTATCGCCCTTTCACTTGATCTGCGGTGGAAGGGTGAATTTGATGATGTCGAATTCATTATTTTCCCCTGCTTTTCAGGTATAATGGCACATTCGGCCGGGGACGCTGTCTTGCCTTCCAACAACGAGGATGAAACCATCGTCTAGGAGGACCCCTTGGGCTGGGTCGCGCCTGAGCCTTGAAATAAAAATCTGTGCTTTCGCATGACGGACGCATTCAATTGTCCGGAGGTTCGAGCCGAAGGGGTCCCCGCCAACTGGATTCTCCAAATTTCTCATTGCAACCGGAGGATCTGCTCGACATATTCGGGAAAACATTTTCCCATATACGAGTTTGCGTTCAAAGAGGCGGGGATGTGTTTTCCCTTCAATGATTTTCAAGTGGGGGTTTTCCAGTGGCTTCAATTGGCGCCCTCTCAACTTCACCCAAACGTGTTGGCATTCATGCGGGCGTTCGAGCTCGTATTCCAGTATCTGTAGATAGGCGCTACGCTGCCCCTCTTCTTCCATATTTTTCACCTACAAAGGAAATCCATTGGAGGAGGGCAAGTGTGAGTGTCCTTCAGACAGTTTGGGAAAATCTTTAGGCCTTATTTGGAGTATGTTTGTCACTTCAAAGAGAGGTACTTCATTGTGAAACCTTTGACGGACATGGCCATAGACTCCCTATACAACCGCGTGGAAGAGGTGGAGGATGGGAGACCAGTTACCCGGCTCGTGGCCATATTTCCGCTCGAATGGAAATTGAGACATTTCGAGCAAAAGCCCGAGTATTATGCTGTAAAGCCTGAGGATTTGGATTCTCAAGACCAGCTCTCCTATAAGAAAGCTGGCGGCCTATGTTAGGAGGTTCTCCCCTGCGAGGTGTGTGGATGTGAACAACAACCTCCTCTTCGACAACAATGGGGAGTGCCTCTTAGTTAATAGGTTTATCAACACGAAGGCTTTTCTCGAAGGTTCTTCAGACGAGGAAGTCATGAGGCTTTTAGGTAGGGGATGCGGTCGCGATGATTATTTGTGTTTGTCTCTTTTTTTTCTTCTTTCATGCGGGGACGTGCCTGCGCTATTATCCTTGTTTAACCCGTGACTAACAGTTTCTTTTTGATTGTAGGTCGGGTGGCGTCCCTCTCTGAGCGCTTATTAAAATTGAGACCCAAGAACGCTTCCACTTTGGGACCAAGGAACAGGGTCACCCAGCTCCAAGAGCAGGCCAAATCAGGTGCTCGTGCCAGCGGTTCCCCCTCTTCATCAAAAACCCAGGTTCCCTCCTAGGTTCCCCTCAGCGAGCCTATGACAAAGAGGAAACACGTGGTGGACGTCGTGCCCGAAGGTGACAATGGGACCAGGGGGGTCTTCGTGCTGCCTCCTTGCTATCTACATCGTGATCTCTTTAGCGGGGAGAGCTCTTTGGGCATTCACAAGGAGGAGAGGGAGGAGATTCTATCCGAGGATAAGGAGGTCCGTCGAAAGAATTTGGCGGAGGGTGTGGCCGCTGTGATGAGGATGCTCGATACGGCCTTGACACTAAATGATGAGGCTACGAGCTCTCAGGCCTCCCTTGACGCAGCATATGCTAAGATTCAAAAGCTGAAGGCCAAGAATGAGAAATTAAAGTGCGACATCCTTAACCACGAGTCAAAGTTCGAGGCTCAAGTTCGACTTCTCAAGGATCTGAACGAGTTGCGGCCCCAACTGTAGGCCGTGACCAAAGAGAACGAGTGCCTGGTTTCCCGAACAAAATAATTGGAGGGGATCATGGCCCCGATTGAAAAAGAGATCGACGCAGAGAAAGCCATGGTGTCTAGATCAGAGCTATTACGTGCATCCGGATGCTCGAGCAAGACTTCATGGACACACTAGGGTATGGTTTGAACACGGTCGTGAAGCAGCTGAAGATTCTGAACCCAGGGGTCGAGGTTGTGGTCGAAGGCGCGAGGCCATTTAACCAAGTGATTGATGGAAAAATCTTTTATCCTCCCGAGAATAGCGACAGAGAGGATGAGATTTAATGTTTCAAGGTTTGCATGCTCGTTCTTGTTTCATTTTGGATTTGTGGTTGTCGTGCTTAATTTTGTAATTATTTAAACAACGCCAGCCTTCGTGTTCGGCATTTATGAATGCCTTAATTTTTGAATGCCTTAATTTTGATCAAAAAGTCAAAGTTTGATTTTTCAGTGTATCAGTTGATTTTCATCAGTTGACTGGATTTCAACTATCAATCAATTGATATTTGGGAGATGTTTTAAGTCATTCCATTAGGTCAAAATTATGCATTTGAATCCTTGATATCATGTCTCAAACCAACAAGTCATGTATTTGGTCAAAAGTCAAAAATTGAGCCTTCTCAGTCAAAACCCTAATTTTGACCATTTTGCCCTCTTGGTGATCTGATCAAATTTCTTGAGTAATTGTGATCTAAACTTGACCAATTGACCTATAGGAGTTCAAAATGTTGATATGGGTAAAAAATTATGAAGTTTGACTGTAAATTGACCACAGTTGACTTTTTGCCCAATATAGTTGATTTTAGGTCAACTGATCAATTGACTGAGCAAGAATGTGATCCAAAGCTTGAAACTTGACATGAGAAATCTTGGGAGTCCAAAATGATCCATGAAATTTATATGAAGCATTAAAAGTCCAATTGTCCTTATACAAACTCAAACCCTAATTTTGAGTCGTTAGTGCTTAAGGAGGTGTCTTGAGCTGATCAAACCTTGTACAGTCTTGAATCAATGGAGATCTTGTGAGAGAATTCTTGAAAAATTGAGAAGGAAAATTTTAGGGTACAACATCTGCCCATGTTCAATCTTCTTAAACCTGAAGAGTTAGATTGGTGGGTCCGCCATTCGTGACTTGAAGGTGAAAGATAATTGAACACTAGAGTGCCCAGAAATTTGCACTCGATGATGTATTGATCTGGAAATGGGCTTATGGATTCCATTTGGAGAGATGATTGGTAGAAACTGGGAGAAATATCAGCATAATCTTTAGTTGATTTATGTTGAAAACTAGGTGTCTTGTCTGTCTTTAACTGGAACAATCAATCCTGAT